TCTGGCTGTTAGCGCTTATCAAGCCTGGCTTGCACATCAGGGTATTTGTCGGGAAGGTGCAAGGTATAACTCAAGTCCTGGGGAGGATTTGTCCATTCCTCCCCAACAAGGAGCTGTCAACTTACTCCCCAGCTGGCAGCTAGCAGGTATAAGGTACACCTAATCACATCGAGTCAGCTTGCAGAACATTGCCGCCAAGTATTATTCACTGGCAGGGAAGAAGACATTGCCAGCGAGTTTCATGCGCCGGCAAGCAAGCACATCCCTAGAGGGAAGCTTGGAAGGTCTGAGTGTTGCAAATGCAAATCAGATTCTCATTACTCCTCAATGGGGCAATGAGGATTTGCCTTGAGATTATAAAGTTAGCTCTAACTTTTTGTTTCCAGATTTGCCCACCAAGCCCTGTCCGTGTTGTATTGATAACCGCGCCATCTCACCCATATTTTGTGGATTCTTGAGGATGGTCGGCAATACATTTGTATAGATTTGTATGTATGTGGAACAAAGCTTTGCTCCATGGAAATGCATGCACAGCGGGACTAATCCAACGAAGGTGCGCCTTCACCACCAGAGTGATTTTAGCTCCTTCGGGCTGCCAAGCCGCCGTCACCAAAAAAACCTGGGTCGGAATAGGTCGGAATTGTTGAGGGACACCCAGGTGACTGAAACAGAGAAAGGCTATCAAACTCACTGATGATCTTGACAGTGAATAAAATGGTTTGTATTCAATGATCAAGCAAGGAAGAGAGAAGAGCAAAGCTGGTAGAAAAGCAGTAGTGGGGTGCTTGTTAGAAGCATAACTCAATATAAGCATACGGCTACTACATGCAGGCTGTACCATCCCAACAGGAATGACCGCACAGTCGGGTACACACCCGGACGGGTCCGACGCCTTGGGTGCAGCTAACGAGTCGCCCTCGTGACCCTGCAAGCGTCTTGCGCGATCCGGGCGTCCAAACGGAACCCGTCATAGTTGCGTGTTGCTGGGGCACGATTTGGTCGTCTCACCCTGTAAGGGTGCGTCTCAGTTATCGACCACGGAGTCGGAGGACCGCCGCCATCAAAGGCCGGGCGTCATGATGGCGCACCGGCCCTGTGGCTCAACAGGACACACAGCCAGGTCGGGGAGATCCAAAAAGCTGGGCGATGCCGGGCTCGAACCCAGCGAAATCCTACACAGCTGAACCCAAAGAGACCACACAACCAAGTGGTACAGAACGCCGGTGGAGGAGTGGGAGGATTGTGAGTATGTTAATCTCCCCCCAGCCAGTTGTTCATCCGCATTCGAAAAAAAAACATCCAAAGTCAAGTCAAAAAAAAAAAAAAGAGATCGATTATTTTCTCAAACACCCACCTAAAAAGACATCTTTTCAGGTGGGTACTGGGAAAGGAAAGAGGTTGATTGATCGAGCGACCAGTGCCGCCTATCGGCGGACTGATGGCGAGCCCGGTCTCGAGTCAGCATAGCGACCCCGGGCGGTTACAATTGCAGGTCGCAGTCCGTCTCGGGTGCTGGTATGGCCTGGGTGCGTTGCACCAGGATGGCCTGGGGCGAACCCAGGCCATTACGACCCCAGCTTGCACCCAACACGTAACTGTTGCATACACTTGGCTGGCAACGCCCCCAGAGGGTGTACAGGCCGCTGCAATCACGCACCCGCCGGCTGCGCAACTAATTTGCTGTATTGCGGCATGGGGTCGCCTGTAGTGCTGGTGCGCCTTGCGGGCGAACCAACTTATTCCGATTCGTCCGGGTGTGTAAGCGCATGTCGGTGCGTCACACCACAGTTGTGCCGACGAGACCGTCAGCCCACCTGATGCCATTAGGTCAGAAAGGTCAACCGACCGTTTCCCAGTTTTGGGCCAGCCGCTGGTTTGCTGGACCCAGGAGAGCGTACAGAGACGGGAGGGACTAATTAGTCAAGTTAGATGAGACATGCTCTTTTGAATCCAAAAACATGGGCAACATGTACACTTGCCAGGCAAATAATGCTGGACTTCTTGTCAACATCTGTGGGTCCCACAGAACTGATTGAGAGTCTCAAAAACCAAATATCTCTGCAATTGTAGAGCTTTCAAGCCTGGATTGATTTCTACAAGGGCTCTGGTTTGCATGGGAGAGTCTCAAAAACCAAATATCTCTGCAATTGTAGAGCTTTCAAGCCTGGATTGATTTCTACAAGGGCTCTGGTTTGCATGGGAAGTCCCCCAATGTACTTGTATTTTCTAGTCGCTATGAGCCATAAGTTGTCAAGAAAAGCAAAAAAAACTGTTTTAAAAATGTACAAATCCCAAAGTTTTGATTTTGATTTTTGTTACTACCCCTGGGTGCACTCTCCTGGGTCCTGATTTGACATAAAAAGAAAGTGTCTTTCTTTCAATTTCCAAGTCTTTGAGGAATAGCCATGAACCTCAGCTGTTCATGAATTTTTTTTTCCATTATGTTTATACCAAACACTGCCAAAACAATTGTGTCAGATAGCTGTATCTGTGCTTATATATTAGATATTCTCATATGATATGACATCAGTTCAATTGTCTAATTTAATTTCCAACCATTGTTGGAATTTCAACTCAACACCTCTCCGCTCTGTGCTCTCCATTCCGCACTCTCTTCCTTCCCTTTTCTTTTCTCTCTTTTTTCATATCTCTCTTGCTCTGCTCTCTTCCCCTTTCTTCCAATCAATCCATCTCTACCCTATTCTCATACATGTCTCAGACCATCTCCACCGTTGGGGACTACCCGAGTCCCCAAATTTCCACCTCGCATGACTGCGGTGCACTTTTAGCTCTCCTGGCAAAGACCCTCTCACACCGGGAGGTTCTACACATAGCACCTGGCCTTGTGAAAGGGCCTTCCCCTGTGTCCCCCAATTCCCCCGATTCCCCCTAGACCTCAGCTGTGTGCAATCACAACAAAAAATCATAAACAAGGTTCAACTTCCACAATTCAACATCAACATGGAAATTGATCCTGCAATTGGTAGATTCCCTGATTGATTGATTGATTCACTGATCAATTGGTTGTTTCAAGCAACGGTGCAACAGAGACGATACAATACGGTATCAGGTGTTTATTTGTATTGTCTCAGAATTTGGATACCCAAAAATACCGGATTTGTGTTGTCTCACTTTCCTAAGACATACACATGCATCGTCTTTGAAAAGTGAGAAATATATTCTGTATTGTCTCAGATGACTGATCCCACCAAAACTGTATTTGATACATAAGATATCTGGCCGTATTGAAGAAAAAACAAAAGAAATGAAGACGATTTTTTTTTTCATTTTTAAATCCAAATCCGATACAATGTATTTTTTTCACCAACCAAGGAAATACTGATACCGGTATCAGGCTCAAAATAAATATGATACAATCCGATACAAATACATGTCTTGTATCTGTTTCACCGTTGTTTCAAGGGTCAGGCAAGACACAGTCAAGAGGCAGTCAAGAGAAAGAGATTGGATCAATTGACAAGAGGCAGTCAAGAGAAAGAGATGTACAGAGATAGGAGAGACAAAGTGGTAAAATACAGAGAGAACGGTCAATTGATCCAATCAATCACTTGTTGAAATCTAGGAGAGTCGACAAGTCACAAATTGAGAGAACTGTTCTTTGATTTGATCGGTTTGCATCTTCAATTCTTTCATAATGCCAATCGCGTTGTGAGTTCATGATGGACTTGTGTGATTGTGTTGAGGAGAAGTGTTGATGTCTGTATGAGGATGTCAGCTTGCTACTATGGCAGAGACAGCCTGTCATATCAAAATAAAAT